ATTTGGCGTAAAGATTCATTAAAGTTTTCAGAGGACAATTTTGATTTTAGGATGCGCTGGCTGTTAAAAAGGCACATCACACCGAGATGCTGAGGTACTTGGTTAAGGAGGTTTACTGTAGTCTAAATAAAGCAAGGAATCAGTTCAGATAGTGGCAAAGTATTATGCACTTTTTATTTTAATTAGGGATGGTAAAATGAAGGTGTTACCAGTTTCAGGAGACAGATAAGCATCTGGTCTGGTTTTAATTATTAAAGCAATTGTAAGAAATACAACAAGTATTCATGAATTTAGTTCAGCATAATTAGTCAATGTTGGGATAAAACTTCTGTTCCTCTGACTTCCGGAGCTGCATGTTGCAATCTGTGTCACTTCATTAATACGGTATCCTAGTGAGCATGTTTCCTATTTGGTCCCAAGGGTGAGATTTAGAGGTATGATGGAGCACTGTTTTGACTTCTCACAGGATGAGCTGGATGAACTTCGGGCTGAAATGGAAGAAATGCGTGACAGCTATTTGGAGGAAGATGTTTACCAGCTGCAGGAGCTCCGGCGAGAGCTGGACCGGGCAAACAAGAATTGTCGCATTTTACAATATCGTCTCAGGAAAGCGGAACAGAAAAGCTTGAAAGTTGCACAAACAGGCCATGTGGATGGAGAGCTCATTAGGAGCCTGGAACAAGATTTAAAGGTGGGTGAGAGATTGATATTCACAGTGAAAGAGAGCAGAGTGGGTTCAGCTCCCTGCAATGGAAGGGAGGGTGACACATGAAACAGGCAGTAGTCCTCCAAATGTCAGGACCAATTTCCTTCTTCTGTGGTGGAGAACAAATATGCAGCTTATCACCATAAAAAGATGAGTTAGTGAGAAAAAAAAAAAGTGCTTAGATTCGAAATGAAAGAAATGCAGTAAACTTACATTTGTGCATTTGAAAAATTTAAAGGGTTTTGCTTTACTGATTTTAGTGAAAATCGTAGCTCTGCAAAACTGTATAAACAAAACCTGATATGCTTTTTCCAATTCATGCCGTTTCCTTCCTTTTCACTTCTTGCTTATGCCAAGTAACTGAAAAAAAAACCAAACCTAGTCCAAGTTGCATTTCTTAGTGCCTAATGGGTTACTCATAAGAGGAACAGACTGTTATAATATTTTAGAGAGGCAGATAGAGAATCAAAATGTTATTGCTGTAAAAAGACAAATTCCTTTAAAAATTATGTTTATATTGAAGCAGGTTTTATGTTTTTCAGAAATGTTTTTGTCAAGGCTAAGCTTTGTATGGGCACGGTGCTTACTTAGCTTTACTTGTCTTTCTTAATATTGCTGTCTTGTAGCTGTTTTGAAAATATTTTCTCCAGAGAGGGACTGCTTATCGCTAGACTTATTAACAGTTTTGTACTTAAAAATGCAAAACATAAAAACATAAACTCTTTTGAAATAGGAGTTATTGGTCCCCAGCAATGGAAATGAGAGTGACATATCAAGTCATCAAACTTTTCGAAATGTCAGACCTAGTCTTCTCTTTTATGATAGAAAACAAATTATAACCTTATCATAATAAAAATGACACATTACTAACAATCTTGTACATAGATTCAAGTAAAAGAGATAGTGAGCTTTTTAGTTTGTTTGCTTTTGTTTTGCTGACTTGTTGTCATTCAGTAATTCATCATTTTGCATGATGAATCACCTTTCCAAATGTTTTTGGAGTAAATATTCATTCTTGTTAGGCTGGACTGAGAAAACCTAAGCTACAATATATTTCTGTGCTTTCATATCACTCTTGCCTAGCTGTGATTGCTGCTAGACCAGCAAATTTGGGTGGATGAGACTGCTGCTTGGATGCAACTTTGATTGATGACCTGTCAACTTTACAGCACAATTCCTCATCTTTTGTTTTATTGATGTGATATGCTGGGACTTTGATGTGCAGGTTTGGTATCTGCTTGTTTCCTCCTGCTGTTCATGACATTGCCTTAGCATAATGTGGAGGGGGATCTGGAGACGGGTAATCAAGATCAAAATATGTTTTCATCTTGGATTTCTTTATTAGAAATGAATATTCATTTTGGTACTTGGAAGGCTTGGAGTCTTTCATCAACAGTTTCATAATTGAATTAAAAACCTCTTGGCTGTTTAGGGCTGTAATATGCTTCCTACTGTAGGAGACGTACTGTAGCTGTTGCTCATCATGGATCCTCTTCATGCGTTTTTGCTCTTCTGACTAGGTAGCCAAAGATGTTTCTGTCAGACTGCACCATGAGCTGGAGAGCGTGGAGGAGAAACGTGTTAAAGCAGAAGATGAAAATGAAATCCTTCGGCAGCAAATCATTGAGGTGGAAGTATCCAAGCAGACACTGCAAAATGAATTGGACAAGTTAAAAGAGGTAAGCAATCGTCAGGAAAGTGGTGTTGCTGGGTTAGATGGGAAATTTGACATATAGGCATCTTAGTCTAATTCTTACGTGAAATGCTTGCTGATATTGCTTGTACAGTTGCCCAAAAGGTCTCCTTTGTTACATGTCCCAAATGTGTTGTTAATTTAGAAGCAATAAAGAGGTAGATGAGTGATGCTGGGGCTTTTGTCCAGAGCTTCTCACAGGGCTTCTGTCCCATTTTAGACTGGCTCCTCAAAGCCTCTCTTCCTACTAGAGCAAAAGTATCTTTGGTTTGGCTCCAGCTAGCTCTGGCTCTCCTTTACACAGACTGGGACTTCCACCTATTTGAGAGTCAAATGAGGTGTGCATGACTTGTCTCTGAGAGGATGGTTCAGATAGGCAAGCCGCCGTTTTGGCT